AGCACGATGTGGATCTACTCCCTTGCTCAAAAACACCTATTTAAGTGTGTTTTGGTTCTAAAATTTTGAGAACCACATAAAAATTAAGTAGATATTATATCCTAAAAATTTGAGATTTGAAAAATTGCAGCTAGCGTAGATTTTTGTCGAGGGAGTAAATAAATAGTAGGCTCGAGAGAGTAAAAAAATCTTTTGTGTGGAGTTGGGTAATATTACGGTACTTAAATTACCGTAATACGACCTTAAAGTATTACGGTAATACTCTATGTTATTACGGTAATTAAAGTACCATAATAGATGTTTATGTTATTACGGTATTAAAAGCACCATAATTCTATCTCTATTTACAACAGTGTTTAAATTATCGTAATGGTCGCAATGCATTACGGTAGAAAGATTACCGTAAAAGGTATTTTCGTCCAAAAAATTGAGAAAAAATGTGTAGACGAGGTTTTGGAAAGTTGGAGGTTTTTTTGCGATTTTCTTAAATTAAGGTATATTAACAATAATTTTCCTTAAAAAATTAGATCGGGTGGCCGAACACATCCCCACTAGGTTATAGTTGACCCGATGAACCAGCCGACTCAAACAGATTTGATTAATTAGAGCTTACCCGAGTTAGAAAGCATTTTAAAAAAAGAAAGTTAAAAAATCTAAAAATCAAATTAAGTTGATATGTAAAAAACGATGAATTTGTTGCATATTTTGATAAATTATTGAAAGGTCCGAACATCGAGAATTTAACTTTTGTCTGAGGGCCACACAGTCATTTCATAACCTAAAATGTACTAATTCGAAAAATAAATAAAAATGCAAGAACAATAAAATCTAGAAAACTTTACACACATATCCCTGAATTTTCCTATTATTCAATATTCCCCTTGAAATTTCATAGTTTATGTTCATCCCACTAGTTTAAAAAACAAATCGGTGATTAGGATCGGGCATCTCAAAAATCAGTCTGGATCGGTGAATTGGCGGTCCGGATCGCCTTTTTATTGTAGGAAAAAATAGTGAACCAGCAAAAAAACACATATAAAAACAGTGAACCGATCAAGAACTTATCAAGATCGGTGAATTGAAATTTTAATTGTAGCAAAATGACATTTTTACTGTAGCAATCATCGGTCCTCTTTTAGACCTAGCTGATTTCCTATATATTGATAGAAGCAGTACGGGGTGACCGATTCCTGGGTCATATCGAGTGATTATGTGCCAACCCGAGGCTTTTAAAATCAGTGGTCCATCCCTAAAAATTTAACTTTTTTTTGTTTTGTTTCAACGACCCTTATTTCGAGCCTTGAAAGTCAAAAACTCTATACGCTAAAAACGTCTGGGTATTGGATGGGCTATTAACCTTGTTATTACCCATTGAAGTTGAGATACCGTATCTCCGAGGGCTCATTCATAATGATTTAGATGAGGAACAAAAGATCAAAGTACAAATCGCTGCCTCGATACTTTAGATGAAAAAACGACTATGAGTAATACAAAATATCATAGTTTACCATTGTAGAATCGAAAGGGCATACCAAAGAAAAGTTGTTCCCCGACAATTTAGAGAAGGAGACATGGTACTCAAGAAGATCTTTCATGCTCCTGCAAATCGACACCCATTAGGCAAATTCAAACCTAATTGGGAGGTGCCATTCGTGGTAACCCGAGTGCATGTAAGTAATTCCTACAAAATAAAAAATCAGAAGCGGTATGAACTTCATGACCCCATTAATGTAATGTATCTCAAAAAATACTATCCGTAACGGGTTTAAAAAAAAAAATAAAATAAAAGAAAATGAAAATAAAGGATGTGGTGAAAACCCGAAAGATGCATCAAGGCAAAAAAATTGAAAGAAAATCCTCCAAAAATGAGGCCCTAGTCCAAACTCAAGTACAAAATAAGTGCTTGCAAGCCACAATAATACTGCATAAGCAAACCTTGAGGATAAGACTCCCCCTAATCCTTTTAGGCTCCCAACAAGACCAACTTCGGGTAGATATGGGAAGGCAACATGAATTGGAGACCCAAGACTTCAATAAATCTTGAGAAGAATGTCGAGACCTCTCTAAGAAGGAAGCCCAACAATAACCCAAAGAATTGTTCATGTTTCTGCGAAACACATGATATGAGTTCCAAAGACCAAAGGAAACTTCAGGTTTCGTGGGTCCCCACGATCTCACAAGGAAATCCATTTCATCTTTAAATAAATGAATAAAAAGGAAATAAAGAAAATCTCCACCAAAGGGGCTACAAGTGCATCCTTCTTTGAAAATACCTTTCAAAAGGACTTTTAAAAAATTCCCTTTCTAAACCAGGAAAGGATTTCCTCCATCACTACGAGAGGTTAAAATTATTAGTCGATCTGGCCTCGCTCTTGAAGCCAACTTCCTATGCCTGTTATGAAGACTTGAAACTAGCCAGGCACACTTCATGATTGTATGAGTATAATTGCCAACTGCCACATATCGGAGATGGGTAGACCTCGCCAATGACGACATTGGCTAGATTGAGAGCATTCTCTCTTGGCTAGATCCCATGAGGCCAAAAGAGGCTAACCCACCACCATATGTGTGCATGATGGTCCGATAACTGAAATTTTGGGACAAAGGCCCTACTTGGGGCTTGAGTTTGTCAAAATTCAGCCCGAAAGTTTGTGCAAATAAGTGTCCCTCAAATCTCGATGAATCAATTGCACACATAATATTTCGCACATCATTCTTAGATAAAAGAGCGAAAATCAAAGCCTACCATAAATTCAAAAAAAGGAAAGCGAGTGAGAGCAGATAAGATAAACAAGAAGAGAGAGAGCAATATATATACTTGCCTCGGACCCCCTGCCATCTAAGTAAATGCTTGAGACTGTGACTAACTACGAGTAGAAGATGGTGTCGGCACCCACACATAAGGATTCGCTTCTGCTAGAGAAGCGATACCACCTGTAGCTAGTAGAAGTCCTGACAACTTGTCATATTTTTCTATAAGACCTTTCACATCCTCCAGAAGCGCATGACATTGATCTTTGGCTGTGTTCTGTTAAACAAAAAACACAAAAGGAAAGAGGTCACAACCAAAAAAAAAAAGATAAAAAAGAGACAAAAAAGGGCAAACCGCCAAATAATATAAAGACAAAAGTGAAGCATACCCTCTCCAATCGGTAGCGATCTAGAGTCGCATCCTTATTGGCCAAACGTATCTTAAAATCTCCAATGAGGAAGGGAGATGGTCCAAGAAGGGTAGGAACAACAACAGAAGAAGATGATACCAATCACGCTCTCTCCAGCTTGGCCCGAACTTGTCCAAGTCCGCCATCAGAGTGTCGTGCTCAATCTTGGCCCTCTCCAGTTCATCCCTCATATAATCACACTCCTCCATCGCCATGTCCCTTGCCTCTCTCATCCCCTCAAAGTCCTGGCAAAGACTCTCGAGATCCTCGGTGATCAAATCTCTCTCTTTTGCCACCAAATCATACTCGGCACGACGAGAAACGACTTCCTCACCATAAGTCTGACCCTCACCAAGACATGCAGTCCTCAGTTGTTGCATCTTCTCCTCACCATGATCTATTAGGGTGACTTTGTCCCTCAAAACAACCATGAATCT